CTCGGTGGGAGGTGGTAAGTCCCTCACCCTCGGTGGGAGGTGGTAAGTCCCTCACCCTCGGTGGGAGGTGGTAAGTCCCTCACCCTCGGTGGGAGGTGGTAAGTCCCTCACCCTCGGTGGGAGGTGGTCAGTCCCTCACCCTCGGTGGGAGGTGGTAAGTCCCTCACCCTCGGTGGGAGGTGGTCAGTCCCTCACCCTCGGTGGGAGGTGGTCAGTCCCTCACCCTCGGTGGGAGGTGGTCAGTCCCTCACCCTCGGTGGGAGGTGGTCAGTCCCTCACCCTCGGTGGGAGGTGGTAAGTCCCTCACCCTCGGTGGGAGGTGGTCAGTCCCTCACCCTCGGTGGGAGGTGGTAAGTCACTCACCCTCGGTGGGAGGTGGTCAGTCCCTCACCCTCGGTGGGAGGTGGTAAGTCCCTCACCCTCGGTGGGAGGTGGTCAGTCCCTCACCCTCGGTGGGAGGTTTGGTCAGTCCCTCACCCTCGGTGGGAGGTGGTCAGTCCCTCACCCTCGGTGGGAGGTGGTCAGTCCCTCACCCTCGGTGGGAGGTGGTCAGTCCCTCACCCTCGGTGGGAGGTGGTAAATCCCTCACCCTCGGTGGGAGGTGGTCAGTCCCTCACCCTCGGTGGGAGGTAGTCAGTCCCTCACCCTCGGTGGGAGGTGGTCAGTCCCTCACCCTCGGTGGGAGGTGGTCTGTCCCTCCCCCTCGGTGGGAGGTGGTCAGTCCCTCACCCTCGGTGGGAGGTGGTTAAATCCCTCACCCTCGGTGGGAGGTGGTCAGTCCCTCACCCTCGGTGGGAGGTGGTAAGTCCCTCACCCTCGGTGGGAGGTGGTAAGTCCCTCACCCTCGGTGGGAGGTGGTCAGTCCCTCACCCTCGGTGGGAGGTGGTCAGTCCCTCACCCTCGGTGGGAGGTGGTCAGTCCCTCACCCTCGGTGGGAGGTGGTCAGTCCCTCACCCTCGGTGGGAGGTGGTAAGTCCCTCACCCTCGGTGGGAGGTGGTAAGTCCCTCACCCTCGGTGGGAGGTGGTCAGTCCCTCACCCTCGGTAGGAGGTGGTCAGTCCCTCACCCACGGTGGGAGGTGGTCAGTTCCTCACCCTCGGTGGGAGGTGGTCAGTCCCTCACCCTCGGTGGGAGGTGGTAAGTCCCTCACCCTCGGTGGGAGGTGGCCAGTCCCTCACCCTCGGTGGGAGGTGGTCAGTCCCTCACCCTCGGTGGGAGGTGGTCAGTCCCTCACCCTCGGTGGGAGGTGGTAAGTCCCTCACCCTCGGTGGGAGGTGGTCAGTCCCTCACCCTCGGTGGGAGGTGGTCAGTCCCTCACCTCGGTGGGAGGTGGTCAGTCCCTCACCCTCGGTGGGAGGTGGTCAGTCCCTCACCCTCGGTGGGAGGTGGTCAGTCCCTCACCCTCGGTGGGAGGTGGTCAGTCCTCACCCTCGGTGGGAGGTGGTCAGTCCCTCACCCTCGGTGGGAGGTGGTCAGTCCCTCACCCTCGGTGGGAGGTGGTCAGTACCTCACCCTCGGTGGGAGGTGGTCAGTCCTCACCCTCGGTGGGAGGTGGTCAGTCCCTCACCTCGGTGGGAGGTGGTCAGTCCCTCACCCTCGGTGGGAGGTGGTCAGTCCCTCACCCTCGGTGGGAGGTGGTCAGTCCCTCCCCTCGGTGGGAGGTGGTCAGTCCCTCACCCTCGGTGGGAGGTGGTCAGTCCCTCACCCTCGGTGGGAGGTGGTCAGTCCCTCACCCTCGGTGGGAGGTGGTCAGTCCCTCACCCTCGGTGGGAGGTGGTCAGTCCCTCACCCTCGGTGGGAGGTGGTAAGTCCCTCACCCTCAGTGGGAGGTGGTCAGTCCCTCACCCTCAGTGGGAGGTGGTAAGTCCCTCACCCTCGGTGGGAGGGGGTCAGTCCCTCACCCTCGGTGGGAGGTGGTCAGTCCCTCACCCTCGGTGGGAGGTGGTCAGTCCCTCACCCTCGGTGGGAGGTGGTCAGTCCCTCACCCTCGGTGGGAGGTGGTCAGTTCCCCCACCCTCGGTGGGAGGTGGTCAGTCCCTCACCCTCGGTGGGAGGTGGTCAGTCCCTCACCCTCGGTGGGAGGTGGTCAGTCCCTCACCCTCGGTGGGAGGTGGTAAGTCCCTCACCCTCGGTGGGAGGTGGTCAGTCCTTCACCCTCGGTGGGAGGTGGTCAGTCCCTCACCCTCGGTGGGAGGTGGTCAGTCCCTCACCCTCGCTGCGAGGTGGTCAGTCCCTCACCCTCGGTGGGAGGTGGTCAGTCCCTCACCCTCGGTGAGAGGTGGTCAGTCCCTCACCCTCGGTGGGAGGTGGTCAGTCCCTCACCCTCGGTGAGAGGTGGTCAGTCCCTCACCCTCGGTGGGAGGTGGCCATTCGTGTGTGTGTGTGTGTGTGTGTGTGTGTGCTATACTCACCCCAAGATCTTTTTCCTGGAGTGAGGTTTGTAGTCTCTGGCCCCCTAGACTGTACTCCGTCTGCGGTCTTCTTTGCCCTTCCCCAATCTTCATGACTTTGCACTTGGTGGGGTTGAACTCCAGAAGCCAATTGCTGGACCAGGTCTGCAACCTGTCCAGATCCCTTTGTAGTTCTGCCTGGTCTTCGATCGAATGAATTCTTCTCATCAACTTCACGTCATCTACAAACAGGGACACGTGTGTGTGTGTGTGTTTGTGTGTGTGTGTGTGTACTCACCTAGTTGTACTCACCTAGTTGAGGTTGCGGGGGTCGAGTCCGAGCTCCTGGCCCCGCCTCTTCACTGATCGCTACTAGGTCACTCTCCCTGAGCCGTGAGCTTTATCATACCTCTGCTTAAAGCTATGTATGGATCTTGCCTCCACTACATCGCTTCCCAAACTATTCCACTTACTGACTACTCTGTGGCTGAAGAAATACTTTCTAACATCCCTGTGATTCATCTGTGTCTTCAGCTTCCAACTGTGTCCCCTTGTTACTGTGTCCAATCTCTGGAACATCCTGTCTTTGTCCACCTTGTCAATTCCTCTCAGTATTTTGTATGTCGTTATCATGTCCCCCCTATTTCTCCTGTCCTCCAGTGTAGTCAGGTTGATTTCCCTTAACCTCTCCTTGTAGGACATACCTCTTAGCTCTGGGACTAGTCTTGTTGCAAACCTTTGCACTTTCTCTAGTTTCTTCACGTGCTTGGCTAGGTGTGGGTTCCAAACTGGTGCCGCATACTCCAATATGGGCCCAACGTACACGGTGTACAGGGTCCTGAATGATTCCTTATTAAGATGTCGGAATGCTGTTCTGAGGTTTGCTAGGCGCCCATATGCTGCAGCAGTTATTTGGTTGATGTGCGCTTCAGGAGATGTGCCTGGTGTTATACTCACCCCAAGATCTTTTTCCTTGAGTGAGGTTTGTAGTCTCTGACCCCCTAGACTGTACTGTGTGTGTGTGTGTGTGTGTGTGTGTGTGTGTGTGTGTGTATACTCACCTATTTGTACTCACCTATTTGTGGTTGCAGGGGTCGAGTCTTAGCTCCTGGCCCCGCCTCTTCACCGGTTGCTACTGGGTCCTCTCTCTCCCCGCTCCATGAGCTTTATCAAACCTCGTCTTAAAACTATGTGTGGTTCCTGCCTCCACTACATCACTTTCTAGGCTATTCCACTGCCTGACAACTCTATGACTGAAGAAATACTTCCTAATATCTCTCTGACTCATCTGTGTCTTCAACTTCCAATTGTGACCTCTTGTTTCTGTGTCCCCTCCCTGGAACATCCTGTCTTTGTCCACCTTGTCTATTCCGCGCAGTATTTTATATGTCGTTATCATGTCTCCCCTGACCCTCCTGTCCTCTAATGTCGTCAGGCCGATTTCCCTTAACCTTTCTTCGTAGGACATTCCCCTTAGCTCTGGAACTAACCTTGTCGTAAACCTTTGCACTTTCTCTAGTTTCTTGACGTGCTTTATCAAGTGCGGGTTCCAAACAGGTGCTGCATTCTCCAGTATGGACCTGACGTACACGGTGTACAGTGCTTTAACGATTCCTTATTAAGGTATCGGAACGCTGTTCTCAGGTTTGCCAGGCGCCCATATGCTGCAGCAGTTACCTGGTTGATGTGTGCTTCCGGAGACATGCTCGGTGTTATACTCACTCCAAGATCTTTCTCCTTGAGCGAGGTTTGCAGTCTTTGGCCACCTAGACTATACTCTGTCTGCGGTCTTCTGTGCCCTTTCCCTATCTTCATGACTTTGCATTTGGCCGGATTAAATTCGAGAAGCCAGTTGCTGCACTAGGTGTCCAGTCTGTCCAGGTCTCTTTGAAGTCCTGCCCGGTCCTCATCTGATTTAATTCTCCTCATTAACTTCACATCGTCTGCGAACAGGGACACTTCTGAGTCTAACCCTTCCATTATGTCGTTCACATATACCAAAAATAGCACTGGTCCTAGGACCGACCCCTGTGGGACCCCGCTCGTCACAGGTGCCCACTTTGATACATCATTACGTACCATGACTCGTTGTTGCTTCCCTGTCAGGTATTCTCTGATCCATTGCAGTGCCCTTCCTGTTATATGAGCCTGATCCTCTAGCTTCTGCACTAATCTCTTGTGAGGAACTGTGTCGAAGGCCTTCTTGCAGTCCAAGAAGATGTAATCAACCCACCCCTCTCTCTCGTGTCTTACTTCTGTTACTTTATCATAAAACTCCAGAAGGTTTGTGACACAGGATTTTCCTTCCATGAATCCATGCTGGTTGGCGTTTATAATCTTGTTCCGTTCCAGGTGCTCCACCACTCTCCTCCTGATAATCTTCTCCATAACTTTGCATACTATACACGTCAGTGACACAGGTCTATAGTTTAGTGTGTGTGTGTGTTTATGTGTGTGTGTGTGTGTATGTCTGTGTGTCTGTGTGTGTGTGTATCCTCCCAAAAGGTCGCAAGCTTCTTGTTCTTCTTGCTGAGTCATAATCAGTAAAGAAGATAGGAGTCAGGAGAGAGGGTAGAGGCCCAGAGGTGCTGAAGCATCGGCAACACTTACCTGTCGAATGAATCTGCTGGGATCCATGTAATACGACCCATAAGGCTGCTGTATCATCTGCTCGCTCTGCTGCAGGTCACTTTGCAGGTCACGGAGCTGCAAGTCGTGCTGTGGCTGCCGGTCTCTCGCTGGGAAGTCGTCCTGCAGGTCATGCAGCTGCAGGTCATGCTGCTGCAGGTCATGCTGCTGCAGGTCATGCAACTGCATATCATGATGTTGTAGGTTGTGCTGCTGAAGGTCGTGCTGGTTCGTGTCGTACTGCTGCTGCTGCTGTTGTAGCATGTCGTGCTGATCGTGCCCTTCGCGCAGAGGGTCGCAAGCGCGAGACTCAGCAACAGCCGTCACCTCGCTCGCGTATACTTCGGGAGCCTCTTTCATCTGCTGGTCTGTCCAGCAAAACATAAGAAACAAAATTAAAAAAAAAATACAAATATAACAAAAATCTGTGGCAGACGACATGATAAATTGTCTCCATTCTGAGAGAAAATGAGAAAGACAGAAGAAACACAGACACAAAAGAGACACAAAATTGACACAGAAGAGATACTCATGAGAGATAGGGAGAACAGACACCCAGGAGAGATAAACAGAAGAGTCAAAGAAAAGAGGGACAGAGGCACTGTGATTTAGCTATGACTGGTTTCGAGGGTTGTTCTACGCATTCCCTTCAACCCGATCTTAGGCCTGGCTTCCCTTGTGACAGCCTGGTCATTCAGGTTGTTGGTGCTAGTGGCCCACGGGCCCACATAGCCATCACAACTCGGCTGAACCTGAATTTCCAAAAAATGCTTGAAGAGCCTCAACCGTGAAAATATGGCGACGTGTCAAGGTTGTAGGAAGACGTTGTTCAAGTTCTTGTAGACAATATCTCAGTTTCGACAGTATTTCTGACATCTGCTGGTCATCAGATATGTTGACACAGTATCTCTGACATCTGCTGGCAGTATAAGTCTTGTGCCACGAATATTGACACAGTATTTCTGATATCTGCTGGTTATACTTTAAGCCGTGGGCCACGGATGTTGATAAGGTGTTCTCTAATTATACTCACAGCTTCCCTGGTCTTCACTGGATTTATTCCTTTCTTCCTCCCATATCTTTCACTCCAGTATGTTTTTTACAGCAGCGGGGCGCAGGTTATGGACCAGGCCTTCAAGTATCTTCCATGTACACACCAGGTATCTCTCTTCTCCGTTGCAGAAAAAATAATCCAAGCCGAGTAAAGATGTTCTTATCCCGAGTCTGCAGCGCTCATGACAACAACAGGCAATTACAACCACTGGAGCAGACCTGGTAATTAAATGTGGCCGGCCAGGATCTTTAACTGTCGGTGACATTTCATTCTTTGATGAGCTAGTTTCACTGCGCCACCGCCGAATCCCGCTCCACCTCCTGCGCCACCGCAGGAGGTGGTGCAGGAGGTGGAGCGCTGTGTGACCCCCCTACAGGGGGGTCACACAGCGCCCTAGGGGGAAGGAGATTTTCGATGGGAAGGGGAAGCGCAGCAGAGCTCCAGTTCCTCGGATCAAGATCATCAAGGCACCCACCCTCCCCTGCATCTTCATCTCGGTCTCATATCCAAAACGAGCATCTTACCTTGCACCTCTTACCCTCTTACCTCTTGGGAACGACTGCAGGAATCCTCCTGCATTCCGGTGTGACTCATTGCCATTCTTGGAATGTTCTCATTCCCATTTGTCGTTTCTTCCTCATTCCTGGAATGTTCTAATTTCTATGTTACTTCCTCATTCTTGGAATGTTATAATTTATGTTCCTTCCTCATTCTTGGGCTGGTCTTATTCTCATTTACCGCTACTTCCTCATTCTTAGAATCTCCTAATTCCCATGTTCCTTCCTCATTCTTGGAGTGATGTAATTCCCATGTTCCGTTAATTCCTCATTCCTGGAATGTTGCAATTCCCATTTCACGCTGGCCTCTCTTCTAATGTATCTCACATACAGTATAGTCTATAGTCTCTCTCCTGTATTATTGCACTGTTATTGTATCTTTTTTTCTCTCTCTGTCTCTCTGGACTCTTTCTTTCTTTCCTTTAAGAGCTAGAATTTCCTGTCATTTTCCTTTCACTGTTATCATAACAATAGTTCATGTCGTCTGTTATTCAACATTAGCAGCAACAACGATATATCTTGCCCTTCTGCGTTTTGTTGTTGTCATGGCAACATTTGTTCTGTGCTTCTGGTTGTTGCTGTTGTTTCTCTTTTTTATCTGCCTTCCTCCGTTGCCATGGTAAGATCTCCTCCCTACTGCCTTCTGTCGTTGCCATAGTTATCACCTGCGTCCCATGCAATCGCTGTTGCTATGACAACATCTGCTCCCTATCTTTTCCTGTTGTAGTGATATATCTAGCCTGTTGTTGCTTTTCCTGTTGCCATGATAACATCCCCTGCTCCCTGCATTTTTCTGTTGTCATAACAATGCCTCTTGCTCCCCGTCTTTCCCTGTTGCTATTACAGTGCCTTTTGTTCCCTGCTTTTCAGGTAGCCATAACGCTCTCCCTGTATTATAATGTTGCCATGGCTCTACCCCTGTTCTCTGCCTTTCCTTGTTGTCATGACAACATCTACTCCTTGCTTTTTCTTGTTACCATGACAACATCTACTCCCTGCATTTTCTTGTTGCCATGACAACATCTGATCTCTGATGTTTCTTGTTACCATGGTGAAACTTCCTGCTCCCTAATTTCCGGTCCTCCAGTATAAAAATTCCCTGAGAAACTTGTTGAGAAAGTTTTAGAGCTCTAGACTCTACACCTGGGAAAGTTTTACGTAGGTCTCTCGCACATTTCAGCCTTAATCCTGACACAGGGCTCTCGTTCCAGAGAACTGGAGCTACTCTTCCTTGGACTGAACATGATTACTTCCAGCTTCCCAATCGCTCCGCCACGGACTCTCTAGTTCTTTCGTAATGTGATGTACAGGTACAGGCAGGCCCCGCTTTACAGCACTTCACTTTACGGTGCTTTACTTTAGGGCACTTCGCTTTACAATGCTTCTTTTTACAGATCTTCACTTTACAGCACTTTGCTTTACAATGCTTCTTTTTACAGATCTTCACTTTACAGCACTTTGCTTTACAATGCTTTTTTTCAGATCTTCACTTTACAGCACTTCGCTTTACAATGCTTCTTTTTACAGATCTTCACTTTACAGCACTTTGCTTTACAATGCTTCTTTTTACAGATCTTCACTTTACAGCACTTTGCTTTACAATGCTTCTTTTTACAGATCTTCACTTTACAGCACTTCGCTTTACAATGCTTCTTTTTACAGATCTACACTTTACAGCATTCGCTTACAATGCTTCTTTTACAGATCTTCACTTTACAGCACTTCGCTTTACAATGCTTCTTTTTACAGATCTTCACTTTACAGCACTTTGCTTTACAATGCTTCTTTTTACAGATCTTCACTTTACAGCACTTTGCTTTACAATGCTTCTTTTTACAGATCTTCACTTTACAGCACTTTGCTTTACAATGCTTCCCTAATGCAGTGGTTTTCAACTATACCAATTCTTTATTTATTCAGACTTACTACAATAAATAGATTCACTAATCACTATAAGCTAAGAATGAAAATACTTTAAGGTGAGTAATATGTGTACTGTTCTTGCATTTTTGTTTTGGGGGGGCGTAGCTCTATTGCTCATTTAATATATTAATATATGATAGTGTAAACTCGCTACCAGGCTTTCATATGCACTTGAAAGTAAAAAAAAAAGGTTGTTTCACTTTACAGCGAGTTTTGCTTAACAGTAGTAGCTTAGAACCTAACCTGCTGTATAGACGGGGCCCTCCTGTATTGTTGACACTAGCTTCTCTTAGTTCTTTTTGTAGACAGGAATGAAACTTCTGACGCCGTTTCGGCCCGACATAGACCGAAACGTCGGTATAACAAAATATACTCATTATGTATTTAATGGTCGATGAAAAGTGGGACAAATAAATTGACTCACATGATGATCAATACAGGTGAATATTGTCCATAACATTGTACATAACATTGTACATAATATTGTACATAACATTGTACATAACATTGTACATAACATTGTACATAATATTGTACCTAATGATGTACATAATATCTTAATAAATTATTAAACGGTTTATATTGTGGGTTAGAAGAGGATTCCTTCCAATTCGCCATATTTATTAACAACTACATATGACTGTTATTAAGTTGTACTATTAACGAGTCACATACAGTTAGCGAGTCACATAGAGAGTTAGCGAGCCACAGAGAGAGTTAGCGAGTCACATAGAGAGCGAGTCACAAAGAGAGCCAACGAGTCACATAGGGAGCCAGAGAGTCACATAGAGAGCCAGCGAGTCGCATAGAGAGCCAGCGAGTCACATAGAGTTAGCGAGTCACATAGAGAGTTAGCGAGTCACATAGAGAGTTAGCGAGTCACATAGAGTTGGCGAGCCGCATAGAGACTTAGTGAGTCACATAGAGAGTTAGCGAGTCACATAGAGAGTTAGTGAGTCACATAGAGAGTGAGTCACATAGAATTAGCGAGTCACATAGAGAGTTAGCGAGTCACATAGAGAGTTTACGAGTCACATAGAGAGTTAGCGAGTCGCAAAGAGAGCTAGCGAGTCACATAGAGTTAGCAAGTCACATAGAGAGTTAGCGAATCACATAGAGAGTTAGCGAGTCGCAAAGATAGCTAGCGAGTCACATAGAGCTAGCGAGTCATATAGAGAGTTAGCGAGTCACAAAGGAGAGTTAGCGAGTTTACATGGAGAGTTAGCGAGTCACATAGAGAGTTAGCGAGTCACATAGAGTTAGCGAGTCACATAGAGAGTTAGCGAGTCACATAGAGTTAGCGAGTCACATAGAGAGTTAGCGAGTCACATAGAGAGTTAGCGAGTCATATAGAGTTAGCGAGTCACATAGAGAGTTAGCGAGTCACATAGAGAGTTAGCGAGTCACATAGAGTTAGCGAGTCACATAGAGAGTTAGTGAGTCGCAAAGAGAGCTAGCGAGTCACATAGAGTTAGCGAGTCATATAGAGAGTTAGCGAGTCACATGGAGAGTTAGCGAGTCACATGGAGAGTTAGCGAGTCACATAGAGAGTTAGCGAGTCACATGGAGAGTTAGCGAGTCACATAGGGAGTTAGCGAGTCACATAGAGTTAGCGAGTCACATAGAGAGTTAGCGAGTCACATAGAGTTAGCGAGTCACATAGAGAGTTAGCGAGTCACATAGAGAGTTAGCGAGTCATATAGAGTTAGCGAGTCACATAGAGAGTTAGCGAGTCACATAGAGTTAGCGAGTCACATAGAGAGTTAGCGAGTCACATAGAGTTAGCGAGTCGCATAGAGAGTTAGCGAGTCACAGAGTTAGCGAGTCACATAGA